TTTTGCTCCTCAGCATGGCTTCCTAAAAACACTGCAGGATTTCTCAAACATACATGAATGAGTCAAAGCAAAGCTTTGGGCATGTTTTTTTTATGAGAGTATAACATTATAACATGATATAAAAGTAAAAAAAGTTGATTGTACATGATATTGCCACTTTAAGGTAGTATCCCACTCAGCTGCAACTGATACAGACTAGTTAGTGACTGAATATTAGGCAAATTTTATTTTGCAGACTTCCAGGTATTTGAACTCGTTTCTTTAAATGAGACATATGATGCTTTTAAATCCTTCTTTTTTATATTTAAATCATTCAATTTGGGTCTAAATAAAGTGGAACAGCAATGCTTTGGTCTGAATTCCTCATTGTAACTCCACAAACCCCTCTTTCTTTTTGTGTCTCAGATCAACTTGTTTTGAGGCTGTCTCTTTAAATCCATACAAGGTGCTTCAYATCCTGTCACCCTTTAGCTTCCAGACCAGTCCATTATAGTTTGATAGAAGGGTTTGCAACTATCTTGAGACACAGAAACATTTACAAATTTAGTAAAAGATGTCAGCAATGGAAGACTTGTTCATCCAGCCTTACATGTTGGAGCCAGAGTTTGACCCAGAGCCAGAGGAGAATGAAAACATCAAATTGTAGTAGGTAAGTCCAGACTTTATTAGGGCTGTGTATTGGCAAGAATTTGGCGATACGATACATATGACAGATGGGTCACGATACGATATATCCCGATATATTTCAATACTGTAAACAAGGCGATTTAKTGCAATTTTTTTTTGGTCCAAAAATTCTATTAAATAAAAACCTCTTACTGGAAAAAAAAATGAAAAACCTAATTTCATTGTCTCAGAAAATTCTAATGCTATATAGACATACTTTTGATACATTTAGCTGCGTTCTGCTTTGTATGTGTTTTATTTTATTTGTTTCATATTTCATCCTTGTTTTCAATTAGACTAAATTTGCCAATAAATATTGTAAAAATATATGTTTGCAGCTTTTAGTTTTTAATATTAATTTCCAAATGTACACCCAACACTTAAGAATAGGCTTTATATTGTCATAAAGTTCAGTAAACAGATGATATGAAGCTGCTGCACACAGAGTTTCTGGGATCAGCTGACCTGCATCCAGAAYCTGATTTGTATAACTGTGGGTTGAACAGCAGGGCAGGTCCAGAAAATAAACAGTAAATAAATGGAGAAGCTAAACAAAACAGTTAAATCATTTTTGAAGCGAACACAGCAGGATAAACTTAAAGTATATGGACTTTGCAATCAGCCAGACATTGAGAGCAGCAGAGTTTTATGTCACGGGGGGAGTGCCGAGCTCGAGACGCTAGATGCATGTGCTATATGCATGCCTGCCTGCCTTCCGTAACGTTGGAAAAAAAGAGCGTACGAGACACTTAATTTGGCTTAAAATACAGGCATTCTGACAAATAAGTAACTGTTTGTAACCTTACCTCAGCTTAGGCGGCAAAGGGTGTCGGTCTTTTCCGCTCAGATTCAGCTATCAGAGCATGAAGCTAATGTTTACTCACAATGCTAATTAGGGGTGGGCGTATCGATTTAAGTACTCGATACTATCGATACCAAGATGGTACTTGGTATTGAATGGATATCAGCATAATGGAATCTATTATTTGCTTTGTTGTAGTTTCCTGCTAGTCTCTGGCTCTGAGCTCTCTCTCTCTCGCTCACACAGTCCAGCACAGGCATGCACAGTGCCCCTCCCTCCCCCTGCTGTAGCTACGTAATGCTACGTTCACACAAAACACGTTTTGAGCTGCAGGAGCAGCCATTTTACATGCAAAGTCTATGGTGGATGCTCCTCTAGGGGGTCTTGCGTCACGTCACATACGTTTTGGGCGGCGCGAAAGGGGCGACAGAGCATTTTCCGAGCATGCAGTGCTGCGGAAGCCGCTGCCACCGCCAGAGTTCAAAAATCTGAACTTTTCGCCGCTCGACACGTCTTGACAACCAATCAGAGAGACTCATTTTTCCACGTGACAGTTCCCTGAATGTTGCCCACTAAACCGAAACTGACGGACAGGAGAACTTTACCTGAAATTATCCGTCTGCAGTTGGATTTTCTGGCAGGATATATCAGTACCGATGTGGGTGAGCTGGTCGGGAGGGGGAAAAAAAGGTCCGTCAGCTGGCAGCTTCTGGTGTGGCGAAACTAACCGAACAAATCGCCTTTAAATCATCTGGTGAGTTAATTATCTGCTGTGCACAGTGTTCGCTTGCTCTTTAGTAAATAAATAAAAGCCATTTTATTTTATCTTTATTTCACCCGCCGAGGACAGACGCTCCTCCCACACCCCACTGCTGCAGCTGCTGTTGCTTCTCATTCCGGTCTGAACATGAGTGCGTCCAACTTAAGGCGTTTTGTGCTTTTTGGCCGCTCAAAACGCGTTCGGTGTGAACGTAGCATAAGGGGGGAGAGAGGCTTCAGAATCAGAGCAGCAGTGGTGAGAGAGAAATAAAGAAAGCTATATTTGTGAAGAGAGGCTGTCTGTCGTTTAGCACTGGGGGTCTCCTCCATGTCAATGTGTCTCCCTCTTACAATAGTGTTATTGCAAGAATGACTCTTCCAACAACAGATGATAACCAGGGCACTAACGATCGACTAATGGTCCACTTTGAATGTCAACACCAGTTTTGATCATATTCAAACTTGTTTGTCAACCATGTGAAGGCACCAAGGCGCTGATAAAGCTGAAGAACTTTCTTGTAAGAGAGATGATGAAAATTAAAAAAAAATTCTTGTGACATACTGTATTCAATTTTTTTTTAGATAATCCATGGCCTTACGGCATAATTCTTCAAGGAAAATTCATACATGTCAAGTTGTACGGAGTGTCCATCGGACTATAAGCCACACCTGCCATTTAAAAAAAAAACGCGCGAACATCAACATATAAGCCGCACCAGACTACAAGCCGCACCCCCCACCCCCCATCAGTAAAAACAAAAACAGCCGCACCCCTCACCCCCCATCAGTAAAAACAAAAACAAAACAGTACTCCCAAAATTGTGGTCAAAAAAGTGAATTCAACATCACATTTATTTTTAAGAAAAAGGTTGGCAAGTTCACTGGTACAAAATAATAATAATAATAATAATAATACTAATAATAATAATAATAATAATAATAAAAAACTCTCGGAAAAAAAAGACGAGAGGTCTGGAATTAAAACATAAAAGTAAACCTTTAGAAATTACCAGTAAAGTTCGGAGGAATACGGTTCATTTTTCTTTAACTGTTTCTGATCCAACAAAAAGTCTCATTCATCATCCTCCAGTGCACTGAAACCATCGAAGTCCTCCTCTTCAGTGTTGGAGTTGAACAAGCTGCGTCACACAGCGGTACCTGTTCAGTTTCTGTGTCGCTGTCCTCCCGGGGTAATGCTGGCTCTGAAGCTGTGGTGTCCTCTTCACGTAGCAGTCCAGCCTTTCAGAACCCATTGGTGATGGTGGACTCATTCACTCTGCTCCACGCTGTTAGAATCCACTGGCAGACATCAGGAAATGTCGCTCTTCACATTCGGCCAGTTTTTGTGAATGATTTATCCCCGTCAGTCAGCTGCTGGGAAAGCCCTCCCGCTCCAGCATACGTCACTGCATGGGATTCCTTCCCCGGGGAGTGCAATGCCGAAAAAAAAGTCAGCAGCTCTTCACTCGACGTTTATCCACAAACTGGTCCTGGATTAAGCTCCAAAGTTTTTATCAGTCAGATTCCACCATGAAAAAATGTCTGTTTTATCCCCTTTTATGAGTTTTTGGCCATTGACTATCTTTAAATCGCTGCTTCCTGGTCAACAGTCGGCTCTGGAAGGATCGCCTTTTTTTTTCTTCTTTTTTTGAAGCTAGTGGTTGAAGCAAATGGAGCATAAGAGCCCCCTGGTGGCTGAGGAAAAAAATCCACGTATAAGCCGCACCAGACTATAAGCCGCATGGTTCAAAGTTCAGGAAAAAAGTCGCGGCTTATAGTCCAAAAAATACGGTAGCTATGCAGCACCAGGACAGACTAAATACAACTTTTCTGCACTCCTAGAGACTCCAAGTGCACAACAAAATACTTAATGGCTAAAAAAGTGGTTTTTGAATTTTGCATGTCCCCTTTAAGACTCATCCTTATTCCAGTGAGAACCCTCTGTTTTTTTCTCCAGTTACATTTACAGCAACTTCAGTTTAAATGTTGAATTTGGAAATTCTGTCCCAGTTTTGTTTTCTGCATCACAGAAGCCATAAAGCCCAAAAGCCAAGCATTTGTTATGTGCTCAGTTCAATTTAGTTCTTCGGTAGATTTTTAATATCCATGTGTTTAAAAGTTCATGCAAATGGACTCTAGTCTTATTTATCATACCGTGCATTGGCTTTTTATTTTTTTTTACCCTTCTGTAACCAGGAAGATCCCATTGAGATCACAGATCTCTTTCACAAGGGAGGCCCTGGCCTAAAGGCAACCTGGCATGCATGTTTTTTGGTCTGCTTTTACATCTGATTGTTCTAGTATCTCTGTCCATCTTCCACCTTTTTATCACTGGGTTTGAATATTAAATTATACTCCTGTGGCTTTATTTACTGATTTGTTTGGTTTTTCAGCTTCCAATCCTACTTCCTGTTTTCAGCTCAGCCTAACTCCTGATGGTTTGCATTCCTTTCCGTTTTTTTATTCATTAATTAATTTTTTTTGTGAACTATTTACTTGTTCCCTCCATTTTCCCACCTATCTTTAGTGCTGTTTGACCTATTCAAAAGAGTCCAAATGTCACTGTAGAGGGAAAGGTCAGGTAAAGGTTTAGTGTGCAGGCAATTCTGAATATCTAGTTGGATGCCGAAGGGTGTGGGTGTGTGTGTGTGTGTGTGTGTGTGTTGTGTTGTGTGGGTGTGTGAGTGAGAGACATTGGTGGTTGGGGTTACATTCATACCTTGAACACACGCCTCTTCATGCTTACGCACACTGGAGCACACTGGTGTCACCTCAGACCCAGTTCAGCGGCACTCAGCTCTGAGGAAGCAGCCGTTTCATCTAAGCAGCATATGACTGTGTGTCCTCGTGTGCTCGTTTGGTTCCTCTGCGAACCCAAATGATTTGAGGACATTACATCTTACCCGGACTGACACATGGCTTATAGTGCACCACGTCAGAGGTCACCCACAGAAGGTGATCTCCTTCCTTGTGTTCATGGTGCAGCTTTTTTCTGCTTTGAAATCGTTTAGCTTGAACCCTTTTTGCCCGGTCTTGGAATATTTATCTCTCAAAAAGACTTCAGTTACAGCTGAATATGATCAGTGGGTTTATTTCCTTATTTTTAAACGTTATTTAACCCAAACAGAGACACAAAGTTTAATTTGAAGGTGTTTATGTATGAGGAATACCATGTTAGCAGTGGGAATTCTGTATTGATTATTCTCCATCCACATGCAGGAGAGTGCAGCTGGATCCTAATTGGAATGGATTTCTCTCATGCATTGATTTGCTCAGGTGACAGTAGATGACATATGGTTGTGTGTGTACGTATGTGTGTTTGTACGGGTTCTTGCAATACCATATGGTGTTCTAATGTTCTGTCCTGCAACACCCTTCACTGTTATTTGTCTGGTGAAAAAGTTTTAAAAAAAGGGAGCAGCTGGATGTTGCTAAATTGCTAGGTGTGTGTATGCACGTATGTGTGTGTGAGTGTGTGTGTGCGCGGGCTAACTCCTTGGTTCTCATTCAGTGGGAGCCTAGGGATGAAACAAGTTCTTCAGCAAACACTGATTTCATTTTCCTCATGACCGCTTTTATCTCCACACCCTCACTCCCCTGCATGAACACGGCTCCAGACACACACAGATGGAACGTGTGTGTGTGTGTGTGTGTGTGTGTGTGTGTGTGTGCGCTAGAACGTCTGTGTCATGACAACAATCTGTTATTTAAAGCAGTGTGGTTTCAAATAGATGCTTTTAGTTTTTTTAAAAACATTTTTTTCCTTATTTCTTGTTCAAACAAAACACACTGTATGTAAAGATTTTCTATGTGCTCTTTGTTTTGTGTCTCCTTCAGGTATTCACAGAGTTTAATGGAGCTTATAGAGTTTTTAGAAGAAGATCCAGATGATAAGGATGTCCTGAAAGGGTAAGTTGTTTCATGTCCCTCCCCACACATCCCACACAGGAGACAGGTGTGGGCCAGATCTGGTGTCAAGCTARTGCTGCTGGTATGGAAAGTGATTTGTCAACTGGATGTGGGCCAGGTCTGGCAATGATGGCACTGTTTTTAGGGATGGCATGTCATAGCTGTCCTGGTTGTGTTTTGATTTATGTGGCCCAAATCTGTCAATGCCACAGCTGTCCCGGTTGTGTTTTGATTTATGTGGCCTAAATATGTCAATGCCATAACTGGTCCGGTTGTGTTTTGATTTATGTGGCCCAAATATGTCAATGCCATAACTGGCCCAGTTGTGTTTTGATTTATGTGGCCCAAATCTGTCAATGCCATAACTGCCACATTGTGTTTTGATTTATGTGGCCCAAATATGTCAATGCCATAACTGGCCCGGTTGTGTTTTGATTTATGTGGCCCAAATATGTCAATGCCATAACTGGCCGGGTTGTGTTTTGATTTATGTGGCCCAAATATCTCAATGCCATAACTGGCCCATTGTTTTGATTTATGTGGCCTAAATATGGCAATGCCACAACTGGCCCGGTTGTGTTTTGATTTATGTGGCCCAAATTTGTCATGCCATAACTGGCCTGTTGTGTTTGATTTATGTGGCACAAATCTGTCAATACCACAACTGGCCCGGTTGTGGTTTGGTTCATGTAACCCATGTCTGTCAATGCCATAACTGGCCCAGTTGTGTTTTGCTTTATGTGGCCCAAATCTGTCAATACAACAACTGGCCCGGTTGTGGTTTTGGTTCATGTGACCCATGTCTGTCAATGCTATGTCAAGGTATGACTGTCCTTTGGTGGCCTATATGCAGTTTGCCAGAGATGGTCCTCACATGGGCCAGGTCCCACATTTACCAGACAACACCTGGGCTAGTTGTAGTACTGGCAGATCTGGACCACATGCACCAAATCACAGACAGGCCAGTTGTGGAATGAAATTATATAAACAGTACCATGATGGCACTGCCATCATAGCCAGACCTGGCCCACATCCGGGTTACAAACCACTTCACATGCTCGCAGTTCCAGCTTGAAACCAGATCTGGCCCACATCTGTCTGCTATGTGGGTTATGRATAGAGAGATTCTCATCGTTAAGTTTTACTAACTCACATTTTTTRTCATAATAATACTGATATCATTATTTTCATAATCCAAACACTGCCACCTAACTTAAAAGCCTCTTTTTTTAAAGATGTTGCCAAACAAACATCGGCTTTCCTCAAAGCCTGCTATGCAGACGTCTGGAAAACTGTTGTGGAAACAGTTGCAGTCAAATCGTTTTATTTACTTGTTGTAGGAACCACTAGAGGCCAGTGTCAGAGTTGAAAGTCCAAGATTAGCTTCAGSATAACAGCAGTAATTTTGAATAATGTATTATGTTTACATACATACTGCTTGTTTAATTAAAACTAATATTGCACCTGCAGATTTGTTCCAGAAAACGTATCTCACACCGCAAACAGTTCATATTTTGGTTTTCAGCTCATAACTTCAGTGCAGAGTAATTAAACATGGTGTTTATGCACAGTGCCCATCCTCACGTCTTCATCATGCTGTTCCCTGTCCCGCAGCTTCACAAAGACTCTGGTGAACATCCGGAACAGGCACAACAACGTGGTACCGACCATGGCCCAGGGCGTGCTGGAGTACAAGGAGGCCTTCGGCGTMGACCCCGTCACCAACCAGAACGTCCAGTACTTCCTGGACCGCTTCTACATGAGCCGCATCTCCACGCGCATGCTCATGAACCAGCACAGTCAGTATAGCACTCGCTAATTAACCGTGAGTTAATCAACACAGCTGCTAACACTAACAGCTCGGCCCTGTTTTACCCGCCAAAATGCATTGTGGGTATTCTTTAAGTCCTTTTGTTTAGACAGCTGTTTTAAATCTTTTATTAGTCGTTAGAGGGAATGAAGTTGGTGAAGTTAATTGTTTTTTTTCTGCAGCGTTAATCTTTGATGGCAGCGTGAACCCAGCCCATCCCAAACACATCGGCAGCATTGACCCCAGCTGTGATGTCGTGGAGGTAGTAAAAGGTAATAAGTGATCTTTATCTACTGTCTCGTTTGCACGTTTCTCCACTCTGTGACCTTTTAATGCCACTGTAGTGACGGTGTGTTCTTTCAACATATATGGTCAGAACAGCTTTATCAGCTTTTTTCTTTTGCCGCTTTGCAGACGCCTACGAGACCTCAAAGATGCTGTGTGAGCAGTATTACCTCACCTCTCCTGATATGGAGATCATGGAAGTCAACTGTAAGTCCAACACAAATCCAGAGCGTTCAGTTTTTAGGTTTCGACCAGATATTTCTGCTTTGGAATCCTGTGCAGGAAGGTCAGTTTTAGGCTGATTCATCAGAATCTTATCTTTGTTGCTGACGGGGTTTCCTGACAGCTGGTTCTGATAAAACAGCAGATATTCCTCAGCCTGATCCATACAGGTTRTTCTTATGCACAAACTGAATAGTTGAATGGTTTAATTTATTAGTTAGAAATATAAAAACTGGACAGAACCACAAAGTAAAGTTTAATCATTTACAGCGTTCTAAATGTCTGAATGTTAGCTTGTAGTTAAAACCAAATTTAGAACCAGTTTAAAGGAACGGAGTACTTCAGTCCAGGGTATAAGATTATGGAATAATCTGGAAGATGACATTAAAAATGTCAGATCAATGAGTATATTTAGGAGAATAAAAAAGAATAATTTGCTGGAGAAATATGTAAATGTATGAATTGTTGTTCAAGGAGTTAAGACTATTATTTTTCAGGTTAGTCTTATTATTTTTTTAAACTAAAGATTATTTTTGATTGAATTTATTTATTTGAGAAAAAGGGGCAGATATAAGATTTTTTCTTCTTCTGCTACCTTTCATTTAATTTATGATTTATATTTTTGTTGTATGTTGAATTTATGTAAATGAATAAACTAAAGGTAGTTGGTAAAAATCTAAATGATCTCTTTGTTCCTCTGCTCATTTTAGCTAAACAGCTTAAATCATCTCAGCTGCAGAGAAAATTAAATTATACGAGGAAACTTCTGCACTTCGTCACTGTTTTCAGGTTATAAAACAATCAAACCTGCAACAACAGAGACTTTTACCAACCACATGTTGCTGGTTTTTTTACAATGAGAGTTATTTTTGTTTGTTTTAGAACATGCATGTCTTCTGACCTGCAAAGTCCAGTGCAGTGACAAATTCTGCAGAAAAATGATAAAATACTGCTCGTTTAAATTACGACTTGTAAGTGGGAAGCTCCTACTTCCCAATACAACTGGGCAAAATTATCGGTGTGCATTGTGGGAGATGTAGTTTATGTCTTTAAAGCAGCAAACTCTTATTTTAAAAACATTAATACATTTTGAAGCTCTCGCGGGCCCCATAAAATGCGGTGACGGGCCATGTTTGTCCTGCAGGCCTCAAGTTTGACACGTTTTTGACAGCGACGTTTGATGTTTGTCACACTGGATTTCTGCTCTTTATCTTGCAAAAAAAGTTTCCCTTTGTTAAACTGTTTTACAGCTAAGACCCCCGAGCAGCCCATCCACATCGTGTATGTGCCGTCCCATCTCTACCATATGTTGTTTGAGCTCTTCAAGGTAGAAAAGCTAACGCGCTGCAGCTCACCGTGTGACTGCTCGYCTGTTTTCTAACCACTGTTCTCCGTCAGAACGCCATGAGAGCCACCGTGGAGACCCACGAGACGAGCCCGGGGTTGCCTCCAATCAAAGTGCGCGTCGCACTGGGCCACGAGGACCTCACCATCAAGGTAACGCCTTGAAACTCGCTATTCACAGTGAGATCACTTCGGTTCACCAACAAATGTTACAAATGCTTCACGTGTCTGATTTGATTTGTTAGATGTCGGACCGAGGAGGCGGCGTCCCCCTGAGGAAGATCGAGCGCCTCTTTAGCTACATGTACTCCACAGCTCCCAGTCCCGTRCACGTCGACAACTCTCGCAACGCTCCTCTGGTAAGACTCAATCGGTCACTGTTGTCCTTAAATTTTTTGAGTTTTTAGCCTTTGCATCGTAATATTCATAGTTGGGGTGGTAAGAGCAGCACGTTTGATTGGCTGATTTCTGCTTCAAAACAAGACTGACTTTGCTTTTTTAAATCTGCGAGTTATATAAAAATCTCTGGTCTTTAGAGCTGGGATTAAAAGTAAACGTTGAGTGCATCATATCCTAAAGAGAGGCTTACATAACTAAACATGGTGGCGAGTCAGCTTATTACACAACAGAGTTCACTCAGATGTGTTTGGTTTAAAGTGTAATCAGAGAAAGTGAGGAGCTGCTGACCTCCCACAGTTTTCATACAGGTTATTTATTTACTCACTTATAGTTTGACTTGGGTCTGGGAAAATACTGTGCACCTAAAAAACACAACCTTACTAACTAAAAACCTTTTGTCAGGCTTTGGTCTTTGAATTACATGAAGGGAACCTTGGAAAAGTTAAAAGTTACGATTGAGATATATTTTTTCTTCCATACGTTTTTTAGCACATATCTCAATCTGCATTTTTTAGTCTATGTCAACAATTCATACATCAAAATGTTTAGTTCCTTCAGGACATGCCAGCTGTGAACTTTAATACTTAAGGTATTTATACTTTTTGAGTTTATTTAGTTATTTTGACTTTTTTTTCCCTTGTTGAAAATCTTAAAATCTTTAAATGTTCATAAATCTTTACTTCACTTTTTTCTTTTTTTACTAGTTGTTCCTTTGTAACTTCTTTGTACTAATTTCAGCTTCTTTTAGCTTCTGTTTATCAGATTTTAGCTTCTGTTTAGCTTTTTTTTAGCTATCATTTCAACCTTTTCTGCTATTCTCATGCTAATTTCAACATTTGTTCTTCATTCATTCATTCATTTATTCATTCATTAAAAAACAAAATTTTATACAAAAAAAAATACTAACACCGAAATGAAGGGAAGCAGAGAGAAGAACAAAATCTTATATCTGCTCCCTTTTTCCTCAAGTATAAATTCAAACAATAATCCTCAGTTAACAAAACAAAACAAAACAAATCAAGAACATCAAATCATTCAAGAACATATTATATGTTTACACATTATACAATTTCATATTTTTTCAACAATCCAACCAGTGCTTTTTCCTTATTTCAGCTGTTGTCTGCATTTTTAGCTACTTTTTATTTAATTTGAGCTTCTTTCAGCTAAATACATTTTTTTCTAAAACTTTCAGCATTAAGCATTCACACTGCATTTTTGCAGGAAATGCTAATTCTCAGTTAGAATCTGCACCTTATTTAAATTAAAGTTGTTTTGTATTAAATCTAAGCAAAGTTGTTTTAGTATTAGTTCCAAAACAAAACACAAATATCTGATTTTGAAATGTTGATTTTGTCCCAGTAATTTTGACAAACTGCTCATGTTTTTAGTGTTACAATAATGATTCAAAAAGGAAAAATCAGAGACTCATTCCTTGTCATCTCTGTGTCCAGGCTGGTTTCGGCTATGGTCTGCCCATTTCTCGCCTCTATGCCAAGTATTTCCAGGGAGACCTGCAGCTCTACTCTATGGAGGGCTACGGCACCGCAGCTGTCATTTATTTAAAGGTGAGTTCAGCATTTTCTTCACTTTTTTTTTCTAAATAAGACTAAATGCCACTCAGTAAAAAGCTCATAAAAATGCTAAATTCTTGATCAGGGGTGTTCAGTCCTGGTCCTCGAGGGCCACTATCCTGCATGGTTTAGAGCAGGGGTCCCCAACAGGTGGACCGAGATCCAGATCTGGACTCAAATAAAGTCTTATCTGGACCCAGACCTGTTTTACATTGCA